TCTTTTCTTTCTTTTTTCCTAAAGATCATCTTCCCTGGTTGTGGTGCTCTTCAGTCTGGTGTCTAAATTTGCTGCCTAGCAGTGAAATCCCCTTCAAGAACAGTGTTATGATTTTATTTACATTGTGCTAGAAGGATGACAGATTCAATTGTCAACACACCATCTCCCTTTTAATGTTATCATTACATATTTACGTATTTGTAATGGAGAAAAAAAAAGGTGTATGTTACTATTTTGGTTCAAAACATATAAACTGCTCTCTAGCCAAGCCATTAATGTGAACCTCAATAGAGATATATTCACTGTTCCTTATTTTTAATACAGTCTAATTTGCCAAATATATATATTTTTATTCAAGAATTCTGGTGCCTGTCTACATATAATCCAAAACATTTAAATATTTAGCATCACATAATAGCTAAAAGTTTTTGTACACGTACAAGTAAACTTTGAAGATTTTCACCTTGAAATTTCTGTATGTCATCAGTGCTTCTGGAGAGTTGTATTTTCTTTAAATGTTAAATGCAAAATATTTCACATATTCAGACTTTAGATTCTGCATTATTTAGCATTTAATCAGTTTCTAAACATGTACAAAAATAAAGCTTATAGCCCTTTGTCAAAAGCAATTCCAATAATTCAACTTCATGTAGTAAATATGACTTTTATAGAATAGTTTTAATGAAGGAGCAATCAATAAAATAAAGTTTTGAAAAGTAAAACACAACTCTGTGTCAAAGAGTTTTATATGTGACATGGATCCATTAAGTAAGTGAAAAGGCCACAGCTCACTTTGTCCTGTACTCACTAGTTTCCCAAATTGTTCTCCAGTCAAGGGAACTGTCACCTAAAAAATTATTACGATAGGGAAATATTCTCAGTATATTTCACAGGCATAACTAGGAGCTGTGCAGTCCTTGAGAAGTATCTCTGTCTCTGCATGAAGTCCACTGGAGTATTACAGTGCATTAGTATTTATTCTGGCACAGTGATCACTACTGGATCCATCTTCAGGGTCCCACAAATTTGTTGTAACAACTGAGATCATCATTTAGAATAAGGATGTGTTCACTGGGTATAGCAGTGAAGTTTAATTCTGGAAATACTGGAAACTAGTATTTAAATAACAAACGAACAAACAAAAAATCTATGTTTCTCACTTTTGTGGTAGGTTGGAAACATATCAGATTTAGCATATATTTCGCATGTTTGATTTCAGCAAGATGAGGAGGTTCAGTTAATGAATGATTCAGGATTTGTAATAGCAGATTCTTTGTAAGAATAGCTGATGTTCTTGACCACAAGACTTGCTTGATTCTCTTTAATGCTTAATTCCTTTTCATATTACATCATACATCAGTTTGTTCATTTTCTGCCACTTCACCAGGGAACCAGAAACGTTCTCTTTCAAATTTTGGCCATATGTATGAGTATATTATTATCCATTATGTACACAGACCACCTGAACTATCATCTTTCACTCTGATAAATACATTCCTAATGCAGTCAATACTCCAATTGTTGCTGAAACAGCTACACTCTAAATCATCTGTATTGTGAGGATTTGAGGCACACTATTTTGTGATTATCTACTCACCTCTGTCATTTAAACTATTATACCTCTTTTGTTGTCATTGGAATGCTGTGAAACTAAAAAAAAAAGAGAGAAAGCCAGGTTCATAATGAAATTCTGTGTTAGAATAAAATGTCAGGTCTTGATGGTCTTATTTTTGAGGAGGAAATAAATTATAATTTATAGTGATGTTAGGGCAAAAGATAATGTTGAAAGCATGTATACATTTACACACACACAAATCCATGTATTTGATATAGTTTTTATCATATACACACCAGGAGAAAAAAAAAGAAAATATTCCATTTTTTCAGTTGCACAGAGTACTTCTGCCATAGCTTGCTACATTGTCTACTTTAAATGTATGGGATGGTCAAAGAAATGTTCAGTTTCTGAGAGCCTGTTTTTCACAGGAAATGGATTATCAGAGGGTAGGTATAGAATGAGTTATAACTGTTTCCTCACACAGCTATATTATCTACATGTAAGTAGGAAATATACTAATGTACATCACATAAATACAGAAGTTTATCTCATTTTCTTTCCCTCTCCTTCGTCATTTCTTTTCATTCCTTTTCTTTCCTTCCTGGCTGTATAGGAGAATTTTCTTTTATGTGTGTTGTATCTTACTGTCTCTTCAACAAGGACTCAGTACCACATTTTTCTGGACTTCAGTATCTCAACAAAACAGGGTTAATTCTGCTAAGACTTCCCAACTGAATTCACAAGTTACATAAATCCCAGTATTTAAATATAAACCCTAGCATGCAATAAATGTGCTGAATAGCTATTAGATAATACAATTAACTTCATTTATCTGTTAAAAGAAGTAAAACATTAGTAAACAAGATGTAGCCAATGTAATAAATGACTGCCACATTACATTCTGAAGGTTCTTGTCTTTTGAAAGTTAATTTTTACCTATAATTTTCTTTTCTTATTTTGTTTGCATTTTTGTTTTTTGAAAGTGCACGGCCTACAAAGTCCCAATTTACTGAACCTCCAGGACTGTCACTTAATCCTTGGGCCACTCACCCAAGTAAGTCTACTGTCTGCCATGTTAACTGTCTAAACACTGCCAACAGTGCATTGCCATGCTTCTTCTGTTCTGTCTGCCCATTTTGTAGC